TAAATCACAGGACAGTCCTCTCTATTAACTCCTAAGCCTAAAGTTACACCACAGAACAAGTCTTGTCTACTAACTCCTACATCAAAACGTTACATCACAGGACAGTCCTCTCTATTAACTCCTAAGCCTAAAGTTACACCACAGAACAAGTCTTGTCTACTAACTCCTACATCAAAACGTTACATCACAGGACAGTCCTCTCTACTAACTGCTACATCAAAACGTTACATCACAGGACAGTCCTCTCTACTAATTCCTTCATCAAAAAGTTACATCACAGAACAGTCCTCTCTATTAACTCCTAAGCCTAAAGATACACCACAGAACAGTCTTCTCTACTAACTCCTACATCAAAACGTTACATCGCAGAACAGTCCTCTCCACTAATTCCTACATTAAAAAGTTACATCACAAGACAGTCCTCTCTACTGTCTCCTACACCTATAGTTACACCACAGGACAGTAATTTCTGCTATTTCCTACACCTAAAGTTACACTACAGGACAGTCCTTTCTACTATCTCCTACACTTAAAGTTAAATCACAGGACAGTCCTTTCTACCATCTCCTAAAAGAATAGCTTATAATAGTATTTCAGCCACACTATGTCTGCCACATCAACTGTCGACGATGTGTTTTGCTCAATCCAGAGCCGACTGGAACACAAGAAACACAATAATGGTCAGAATACTATCTATATATAAGCCATTTGTTACAACAACAGTTGGCATGGTATGAACACCTTTTACAAGCTGACGAAGCATGATTATCATTCAAGATATTGTTTACTTTAGGTCTTTCTGCTCTATTGATTTTTCTTTTTTCTGGTACAACATTGCTAATTCTTCTTTCATATGTAATTTACTTGTCGGATTTATTCACATTTGTTTTCAGATTTTCTTATCGTAATATTGTAAAGGTGAAATGTCTGTGTGAAATATGAAAGAACTTTCAAACAGAAACTGTGAACAGATTTCAAGCAAAGAGAGACCATTTGAAAATTAAGAACAGATTTGTGTGGTAGTAATGGCGTGTGGTTCGATCCTGGGTCTTGTTGACATGGAGACTGCCTGTGTTATCGACTTGTCTAGAGTCACTGCCACTACAGACTTCCCTGAATACCGCAGCAGAATTTAAAGTTGTTAGTTAATAGCAGGTATTAATAAATAAAAATATTGTAAGTAATCAATAATTAGAATTAAACGATAGTGTAGGCTATAATAACCATGACAACGAGTCAGAAATCTCTACTGGGTTCTGAAAGAGCCAGAAGGATCAAATCTAAATGATATGCCTCCTAGTGGCTCAGCGGTAAGTCTACAGACTTATGACCAGTGGCGTGCAGAGGTTCTATGATGCCCTGGGCCTTGTACCTAAGACCTTGGGGAAGGGCGGAGAGGGTTCTACTATTGGATTTGACTCTTTGCGTTGGATGCCCTCCCGATATGGATGCCCGGGGCCCCGGCACCTTTCGCCCCCCCCCCTCTGCACGCTACTGCTTATGACGCTAAAAATTGGGCAGTGCTTAGATAGCCCACTGTATAACTTTGTGCTAAACAACAACAAAACCAAACTAAGTGATATAAGGTCAGGAACAACTAACGCTTCCGCTATCTTTAATGGAAGGACGTTCTTGTTCACAATAGGCCACTCATCTTCGTTGTATGAAAAATACGCATTCGCTTTCCAAGCAGCGTCAAGTCGAGATCGATGACTTGAACAAGCTACATTGTACTAGAACCTTTGACTGTAAGATGATACTCCGTACGGTTAACGTACCAAATTGTCTCCAGTTCACTTTCTATTAAAGATACGCTATAATGTCTTGCCCAATCGATTAGTTTTAGCTGGATACATTACAACAAGTTAATCATAACTTTCAGTAAAAGAGCTACAACAAGATATGAAGTTATACAGTGTCTTTCAGGATTCACCACGAAGATTTGCCTTCAATAATAAAGGTTGGTTTACAGTTGTAGATACTAGACTGTGCATTATACAGCAAGGGTTATTGTTATGTTTACTTGACTTTGTTTTAAATATTATATTTTGTATTATTTTTCAGAGGATATTGTTCTGGTTAACTGACGGTGTTTTGATTTGAATATTATAATCAAACAGAGTTTCAACAAATCACCTTTAACAGTTCATTTTCAAACAAAGTTTCAACAGATTATACCTGACAGTATGCAGATGCACCAAAAGTTACTAACAGCGTAATGTTTAGAATTTACCAAAGAAATTATGTCTCATTTCATCAGCTGGTTAAGTAAGCCGACTGTACAGATTTTTAAAAAAATCAGCAAAATACTGGAATGCTAACGATCATATTAGGGTCTCAATTTAATAATTGGGGACAAGTGCCCCCCTCTCCCCTCCTCCCAGTTCCGACGTCCACGGCAGTGTCTTCGACTAAACTCAAATTGTGGTGAACTTAGCACGTGATATTCTGTACTCTTCTTTCGGAAGCTGAAATGCACAACGTTTTTGTGTACACGAAAAATTTACAAGTTTCCATGACAACAGAGTGTTGTATACAGGCACTAGTCTCAAATAAAACCTGGTTTAATCCATTGATTCGCTCGCGCGTGTTGAACTCCACAGAGTGTGCTTTTATTTCCTGCGGATAGTTGTTTTCAGTGTATATGTTTAGTGTTTGTAAAGAACCTTTTTTTTTAAAAAAATCCTATAATGAAACGTATGAATGTTGTAGAAAACCTACTTTAACGTGGCAGAGAGACAAACTTTATAGTTTTTGTGTCAGGACATTTGTGAATTATAAAAAGATACACTTGCTGTTTTCGGAGAAATTTGTTTTCTATCTGATTTTGACCTCTTGGATCAGCATAAGGCACGTGCGTCGTACTTATCATTGTAAAGAGCTCCTTAATGTGAGAGTGGGTCTTTGAAGTGCGGACAAGAACTCTAGAACCAGTTCTGTGTTTTTATGGATCCTTAGTCTCCAACTAACTCTAGAACCAGTTCTGTGTTTTTATGGATCCTTAGTCTCCAACTAACTCTAGAACCAGTTCTGTGTTTTTATGGATCCTTAGTCTCCAACTTATTAGTTTCAACCTTAACTTAATTATTTTATTTTGTGAAATTAGAAACCAGTTCATTGTTATAAAACAAAAGTTCAAATGACAATAAAAAAATAGTAATAAATAATAACAACAACCAGGCTTATATTTAACAATTTGCAGCTTTATTTAACTGTTTCAATAATTTTTTGAGTCTTCTGGGCATGTTTTTTATGTCTTAAATGAATTTTGAGATGCAGCGTTTCGAGAAAAGATTTCAAGTTCCGTTATTTATTCTTGCTAATCTCCTTATAATCAGTGAGTCTGAAGTCGTATAACGATACCATGTGTAGGAAATTAGAGACTTATACAAATAGAGAAACGTCAAGAGAAAGCTGTTAATCACTTCTTGCTCTTCCTTAGCCCCTGTAATTACGGACGGGCCAAGAAGTAAGATGGTAATGTCTGGAGATAATGTCAATTTCACGTGTCTAACCAGTGGTGATCCTAAACCGACCGTTACATGGCATCGGAAGGTGGTGCACCGCAGTCATGGTAACTACCAAGTTATCGATAGTGGCGTCCTCTTGCTCAATAAAGTGGAACTATTTGACGAAGGGGAATACTTCTGCTCAGCGAAAAACATCAACGGAGTTCAAAGATCGAAAGCAGCCATTTTAACAGTTGATGGTAAATATTATAGCTGATTTTGAGTAAACTCAAGGATTTGTGTCACATACTAAATAAACACAGATGATAGCCGGAAGCTTTATAAACACGTATGGTTGTTGGTAAACCCAATGATATATGTCACATACTAAATAAACACACATGGTAAGCGGAAGCTTTATAAACACACATGGTAGCCGGAAGCTTTACAAACACATGTGGTTGTTGGTAAACCCAATGATATGTATCACATAGTAAATAAACACACATTGTAGCCGGAAGCTTCACAAACAAATGTGGTTGGTGGTAAAACGAAGGATATGTGTCACACACTAAATCAACACATATGGTAGTCAGAAGCTTGACAAACACATGTGGTTGTTGGTAAACCCGATGATATGTGTAACATACTAAATAAATAAAAATGATAGCCGAAGCTTAATAAACACGAATTGTTGTTGGTAAACCCAATGATATGTGTCACATACTAAATAAACACATATGGTTGCCAGAAGCTTCAAAACACATGTGTTTGTTGATAACCTCATGGATATGTGTCACATACTAAATAAACACATATGATAGCCGGAAGCTTCACAACCACATGTTGTTGTTGGTAAACCCAATGATATGTGTCACATACTAGATAAACACACATGGTAGCCGGAAGCTTCATAAACACATGTGGTTGGTGGTAATCCGAAGGATATGTGTCACATACTAAATAAACACATATGGTTGCCAAAAGCTTCAAAAACACATGTGTTTGTTGATAACCTCATGGATATGTGTCACATACTAAATAAACACAAATGGTAGCCGGAAGTTTCACAAGTACATATGGTTATTGATAAACCCACGGATATATCCCACGTACTAAATAAACACACATGGTAACCAATAGCTTCACAAATACATGTAGTTGAAGTCGAGTCCTTCATAAACACACGTGACTGTTTCTAGATGCTTTAAAGGTATATGTGGTTGATGTAAAATCTTTATAAGCATATGTGATAATTATTAATCCTTTATATACACAAGCGATTGTTACCAGGTGCTTTAAAGGTATATGTGGTTGATGTAAAATCTTTATAAGCATATGTGATAATTATTAATCCTTTATATACACAAGCGATTGTTTCTAGGTGCTTTAAAGGTATATGTGGTTGATGTAAAATCTTTATAAGCATATGTGATAATTATTAATCCTTTATATACACAAGCGATTGTTTCTAGGTGCTTTAAAGGTATATGTGGTTGATGTAAAATCTTTATAAGCATATGTGATAATTATTAATCCTTTATATACACAA